TTGCATCTATTTGGTTGTTCTCTCTTTTCTTTTTAATCAATCTGGCTAGTGGTCTGTCTATTTTGTTGATCTTTTCAAAAAACCAGCTCTTGGATTTATTGATTTTTTGAAGGGTTTTTCGTGTCTCAATCTCCTTCAGCTCAGCTCTGATCTTAGTAATTTCTTGTCTTCTGCTGGGTTTGAGTTTTTTTGATCTTGGTCCTCTAGCTCTTTCAATTTTGACAATAGGGTGTCAATTTTGGATCTCTCCATTCTCCTCATATGGGCACTTATTGCTATATACTTTCCTGTAGAGACTGCTTTAAATGTGTCCCAGAGGTTCTGGCACGTTGTGTCTTCGTTCTCATTGGTTTCGAAGAACTTCTTTATTTCTGCCTTCATTTCGTTGTTTACCCAGTCAACATTCAAGAGCCAGTTGTTCAGTTTCCATGAAGCTGTGCGGTTCTGTGTCGGTTTCTGAATTCTGAGTTCTAACTTGATTGCACTATGGTCTGAGAGGCTGTTTGTTATGATTTCAGTTGTTTTGCATTTGTTGAGCAGTGCTTTACTTCCAATTATGTGGTCAATTTTAGAGTAGGTGTGATGTGGTGCTGAGAAGAATGTGTATTCTGTGGATTTGGGGTGGAGAGTTCTGTAAATGTCCACCAGGTTTGCTTGCTCCAGGTCTGAGTTCAAGCCCTGGGTATCCTTGTTGATTTTCTGTCTGGTTGATCTGTCTAGTATTGACAGTGGAGTGTTAAAGTCTCCCACTATTATTGTGTGGGAGTCTAAGTCCTTCTGTAAGTCATTAAGAACTTGCCTTATGTATCTGGGTGCTCCTATGTTGGGTCCATATATGTTTAGGATCGTTAGCTCTTCTTGTTGTATCGATCCTTTTACCATTATGTAATGGCCTTCTTTGTCTCTTTTGATCTTTGTTGCTTTAAAGTATTTTATCAGAGATGAGAATTGCAACTCCTGCTTTTTTTTGCTTTCCATTAGCTTGGTAAATCTTCCTCTATTCCTTTATTTTGAGCCTTTCTGTATCCTTGCATGTGAGATGGGTTTCCTGGATACAGCACACTGATGGGTTTTGGATTTTTATACAATTTGCCAGTCTGTGTCTTTTGATTGGTGCATTTAGTCCATTTACATTTAGGGTTAATATTGTTATGTGTGAATTTGATACTGCCATTTTGATGCTAAGTGGCTGTTTTGCCTGTTAGTTGTTGTAGATTCTTCATTATGTTGAAGCTCTTTAGCATTCAGTGTGATTTTGGAATGGCTGGTACTGATTGATCCTTTCTATGTGTAGTGCCTCTTTTAGGAGCTCTTGTAAAGCAGGCCTGGTGGTGACAAAATCTCTGAGTACTTGCTTGTTCGCAAAGGATTTTATTTTACCTTCACTTCTGAAGCTCAGTATGGCTGGATATGAAATTCTGGGTTGAAAGTTCTTTTCTTTAAGAATGTTGAATATTGGCCCCCACTCTCTTCTGGCTTGTAGTGTTTCTGCCGAGAGATCTGCTGTGAGTCTGATGGGCTTCCCTTTGTGGGTGACCCGACCTTTCTCTCTGGCTGCCCTTAGTATTCTCTCCTTTATTTCAACCCTGTTGAATCTGACGATTATGTGTCTTAGGGTTGCTCTTCTTGCGGAATATCTTTTTGGTGTTCTCTGTATTTCCTGCAATTGAGTGTTGGCTTGTCTTGCTAGGTGGGGGAAATTTTCCTGGATGATGTCCTGAAGAGTATTTTCCAGCTGGGATTCATTCTCTTCGTCCCCTTCTGGTACACCTATCAAACGTAGGTTAGGTCTTTTCACATAGTCCCACATTTCTTGGAGACTTTGTTCATTCCTTTTTGCGCTTTTTTCTCTGATCTTGGTTTCTCGTTTTATTTCATTGAGTTGGTCTTCGACTTCAGATATTCTTTCTTCTGCTTGGTCAATTCGGCTATTGAAACTTGCGTTTGCTTCGCGAAGTTCTCGTATTGTGTTTCTCAGCTCCTTTAATTCATTCATGTTCCTCTCTACGTTATCCATTCTTGTTATCATTTCCTCGAATCTTTTTTCAAATCTTTTTTCAAGGTTCTTAGTTTCTTTGCATTGATTTAATACATGATCTTTTAGCTCACAAAAGTTTCTCATTATCCATCTTCTGAAGTCTAATTCCGTCATTTCGTCACAGTCATTCTCCGTCCAGCTTTGTTCCCTTGCTGGTGAGGAGTTTTGGTCCTTTCTAGGAGGCGATGTGTTCTGGTTTCGGGTGTTTTCCGCCTTTTTGCGCTGGTTTCTTCCCATCTTTGTGGATTTGTTCGCTGGTCGTCTGCGTAGTTGCTGACTTTTTATTTGGGTCTCTGAGTGGACACCCAGAATGTTGATGATGAAGTATTTCTGTTGCTTGGTTTTCCTTCTACCAGTCTAGCCCCTTCGCTGTACGACTGTTGAGGTCCGCTCCAGACCCTGCTTGTCTGGGGTGCACCTCTAGTAGCCGTGGCACAGCGAGGGATGCTACCAGTTTCTTTTTCTGCTCTCTTTGTCCCAGGATGATGCCTGCCTAATGACAGTCTTTTGGATATAGAGGGGTCAGGGAGCTGCTTGAGGAGACAGTTTGTACTTTATAGGGTTTAATTGCTGAGCTGTGCACTCTGTTGTTCATTCAGGGCTGTTAGGCTGCTTATGTTTGATTCTGCTGCAACACAGTTCATTAAACAACCCTTTTTTTTTTTCTTAAATGCTCTGTGTTGAGGGGTTTGGGCTTTATTTTTGGATATCCGATCAGGTGTCCTGCCCAGCTCGAAGGCAGACTAGCCACTGTTTGGCTGCCGAGGCTCCACCCTGCTGTTGTGTGATTTGCGCTGTTCCTTCCGGCTCTGCTGTGGTCTCCGCCACGCCCTGTGGCGGAGTCTCTTTGTTGTAGCGTGTTGCCTCAGCAACGGCAGGCTGCGTCAGCAGTGGGCGTGTATCTCAGTAGGGACGGGTTGCCTCGGCAACGGCTGGCTGCGTCAGCAGTGGGCGTGTATATCAGTTGGGGCAGGTTGCCTCCGTAGTGGTGGACGCCCCTCCCCCACAGAGCGTCTCGGACCGTCTGCCCGGGATAGTTTGAAATCGCGGTTTTGTTCGTCCCACTGGGTATCCCAAACGATCTGTCCCTGCAATGCCCTGGGCTGGGCTACTGTGCAAGTCTCGTTCAGTCTCAAGTCCAGCCCTCTCAAGTCTCAGGTTGCCGGTTCAACAAGGCACCCGGACAAGCACGCCCTGTGGGGATTGCTGGGTAGGGCCGGCCACCGCCGCCCCGGCTGCCGGCTTCGCCAGGCAGACCTACTGCCTGGCGTCCCGTGTCTTTTTATACTTGGGAGTTTCCCCGTTCTGTGGGCAACAAAGATCAGTCTGGAATACAGCACTGACTCACCGTTTGCGAATTCAACGTGGGCTCCAATCCTGGGTTGTTCTCACAGCGCCATCTTGAGTCCCCTCCTTCTTGGGGGTTCTTAACAGCATGCCTGATCATCTGTTTCTGGCTTGGATTCACCACAGAAAAAAGTTGGAGACACCCTCTACACCTGATGGGCCTCCATGGGAAACCAGTTCCAGGTGTCACCACCTCAGCTGCACACTGGACTTTCCTCTCTGTGGTGTTCACTTCATGTCCAGACAGCAGTGCTCAGAAGCAGGAGTTTCTGGGCTTGGAGATCAAGGCAGGGCCCCTGTTGGGCGGCCCAGGTCAAAAAGTGGCAGTCAGCTTATGGGGCCAGGGAACATTCTGGTGAAACCCAGAGTGTGCTCATCCAGGTCTGAAGTGCCCTCCTCCTCCACCAACCAGAACCAAAAAGGGGGCTCAAGGAGGTACTGAGGTCAGTACTGTAAGGGTCCTATGCTTCTTGTGGCAGGCAGCCTCCTTCCAGGAGCCAGCATGCAAATGACACCACCATGCACCTGTGCAGCTACTGCACCAACATTGCGGCATTCCAGCTGAGCATGCAAAGGCACATGTGCAGGCTGGCTGTCACAAGCACCAGCACTGAGCCAGGGCTCACGTCACCGTGACAGCCACCATTGCCTGGTGAACAATCTCAGTGGCATAACAAAGCAGGTGCCCTCTGTGGCAGTGCCTCAGCATTGGGCAATGTACACATTCTCCTCCTCCTGATCTTCGCTGAGTCCTGCAATTTTAGGAATACAGCAGACCGAACCAGGCAGACAAAAGATCTGGCAGGGCTTCAGAGATGTCCACGGTGATCCCCAACTATCCCCACAATGCTTCAGGCCTGCCCAGTGTGAAGGTGCCTTTCGTTGAAAGCCCTCCTGGCTGGGGTTTCCTGGTATGTCCTGCCTGCCTGTGGCAGGTCTGCTCTGTACCTGAAGGGCTTCCAGGCAAAGAGTAGAACTCCACAGCCTCAGGAGCTGCCTAGCAGTGTGTTTCCATGCAAGTGTTGGATGTCTCCGTGTGTCTTTCTGTGTGTGTGTGAGTGTGTGTATGCATGTATCTTTCTGAGTGTGTTGATGAGTGTGTGCGTGTGTGTTTGGGTGGGACATGCTGACACAAGTGTGGCCAGTGCACTCCAGTGAGGTTTCTCTGTAGTCTGCCTACCTTCTGCTGCTGGTATGCATTTGGCTCAGTTTGGGGGCTTTGGTGCCCCACATTCTTTGTTTTCCTGGTGCTTTCCAAAGCCTTAGTGTAGTGGGGTCTTGCTCCCACCTGCAGGTGTCATAATCACCTGGTCATTCGAAATGGGTCACTCCTCAAGAAACAAGACAGGTTCAACACAACTCA